CCCAGCACGCCCCGAGCGGAAAAAACCACTCTAGCCCTAGGGGGAGGGGCGGGTTGTACCAACTGCTCATGTGGCCTGGACGGGGAGGGGGGGGAAATGTACCAATTCCTCACGCATTCAGGCAAGCGGGGGGAGGGGGGTTATACCAAGTGTTCTCGCACGCAGGGAGGGGGAGTAATAGAGAGGTAGCCCTGTTAGTCTGATCCTGCTACAGCAAAAGGAAAAACGATGCCGCACTTTAAAGACTAACAAGCTGGTTTAATAGGCGATGAGCTTTCCTGGGCCAGACCCACTTCCTCAGCTCATATTCTGGGAGAGAACTGGCAGGACCCTACATACCAAATACCAAGTGTTCTCGCACGCAGGGAGGGGGAGTAATAGAGAGGTAGCCCTGTTAGTCTGATCCTGCTACAGCAAAAGGAAAAACGATGCCGCACTTTAAAGACTAACAAGCTGGTTTAATAGGCGATGAGCTTTCCTGGGCCAGACCCACTTCCTCAGCTCATATTCTGGGAGAGAACTGGCAGGACCCTACATACCAAAGGAATTCTCGTTTTTCACCGTATCCCTTTGGGGGAGGCGGAAGAGGGGGAGCGGGATGTACCAGCTTCTCACGCCGGCCGGAGCAATGTGCTGGGGGGAGAGGGGGCAGGTCGTGGGGTGGAGTGAAGGTTGCGGAACTCACAGGAAATGCTCCTCTTGCCAGTGGATCGCTATCACCATGAAGAAGGCACAGTCATTACTTGGATAAACTTAAAAAACCCACAAATAGTCTGTAGATCTTTATAGGCGGGCATCATCTGAAGAAGTGGGCTGTGCCCATGAAAGCTCGTGATGACAGCTACATGTTTTGTTAGACTATAAAGTGCTACCAGACCATTTGTTGTTTTTTAAGTTTATCCTGTACACACTAACTTGGCTACCCCCTAAAGCTTCCAAGTCATTACTAGGCTGACCCAGCGCCCCCGTGTGTGCCCACCACCCAGAGACCAGTGCACCAACCCCCCAGCTGCTGGCACCAGACTGGTGCAGTTACGTAACCCCAGCAGCACAGGCCAAGTTACAAAGATTCTATTCCGTGTTATACTTGGAAGGCACCTTTATGCCATTGTAACTGCACCCCCCACCAAAGATTGTGTCAGTGTAACCATGTCAGTACAAAACTGCACATGTCCAACTCAGAAATAGTCCAAGGCTCTAACCTGCAGTAAGCTCCATTCCCTATCTCCCATTACTGCAACAGGCAGATATAAGAGTCCTCCTGGGATGAGCTCATTGCTGAATCAGGAGGTTAAAGCACTAAAGAACTTCACCCTCAGTGCTGCAGGTCATGGGTTATTTCTGCCCAGCTTCATTCAGGACCTGGGTGTTGTGATCCATCTTTGCGATACCTTCATCACCAGCAGGAGGGCTGTGCCAACAGAGACTCTAATCCTGCTACTTAAAGTATCCAGGCAAGGCTCTCCAATTGTAGGCTTTGCGTGTGAGTTATCATCTGCAGGAAGATATAGAGGTCCAAATGTTTAGGGCCATAAAAATCCCCTTAATGGACAAGTTTTGTACAGCTTTGACATACGAATTATCTAATGAGGAGCAAGACAATCCAAATACATACAAATAATCTGCAGTCAGAGACCCATACTCTGGGGATATGGTGAGACACAGACAAATCCTCCGTCCTGGGAGAAAGGGACTATGGAAACCTTACCAGTTCTTCTGTTCATCCTGGTTGCCAGAAATCAGCAAATAGGAAGTGGCTGCGGCCAGGGGCTCCTATCTCGGCTTGAAATCTCAAAAACCCACAAGCTCTCAGACCAACCAGATATCAAAGGAGGGCTGGAAATCTCTCAGGACTCAGCCCAAAAGTCTGTAAATTAGAGAGATTTGAACTGGTTTTATTGCAAAACCCTGTGTACATTGGTGCTAGTCCCTATCTAAAGAGTGTCAGTGATCTGAATGAATTTATCATGAGACTAGCTAGTGTTAGCATTCATTTTGAGGGAAATAAGAGATTTTATAATGTTTACACTCATTCAATGTTTCTATTAATTCTGAACACAGTTTATCAAACAAAGGGTTTACCTCCACTGTTGTGTTAGCGCAAGGTAGAAGCCGAGTGTTGCCCCTTTGTTGACACCCATACACACAGACACAAAAGTCTCTGGCTCAAGGGACGTGGTGCTTTAAGCTCCACTGATAGTTGCCATGCTCCACTGATAATGCAGCTACTCCAGGGTACATCTTCACTACAAACACTCACCAGCACAGCTGCAACACTTCAGCCAGGTTGCTATAATGCAGGCACTTACTACAGGGCAGAAGGGATTCTTCTGTTAATGTAAAATACCCCCTTGAGAGGCAGAAGCTAGGTCAATGAAAGAATTCTTCCACTTACCTAACTGACTCTATAGTGAGAGTTAAGTCAATCTAACTATGTCATACAGGGCATGAGCTTTTTTTCAGTCTGAGCAATATAGCTGGGTGGATCTAAATTTTAGGTATGTAGACTAATGTGCTGCTAATACAAATGCTCAGTGCTAATAAAACACACACACTGTGCAGCTCAGGTATTGTTTTGCAGTGTAAGCACTCCAACTCAAGCTAGAATAACTTGAGAGGAGTTAATCGTAGTGTAGATAATTCAAGTTTGCACTGCAGTGAAGACTCATGCTCAGTCCTTGGTCCACTGAACTATTTGTTCCTCGCAAGCACAAAATAACTTCCACTCAGGATAGCAATACATCTTGAGCATGCATTTTGTAGTTATTATAAAAAACACTGGTTAAATAAAAAATAGACATTATTGGGTCAACAGCACAGCACATGAAAAACCAGGACAGTCCCCGTTAAACCAAGATGTATAACCACATTAGCTCTAGTGCAGAAATGGCTTTTCTGCTGTAGAATTTATCTACTCTGAAGTCTCTCTTTTGTGAGCTTATAAACTTTGCAGATGACCAGTTCAAGCAATGATTCATTTCACAGAAACCCTGAGTATTAATTAATAATAATTATTATTAAACATTTCTATATATCTTCACTTGTTTACATTATGCTGTGCAAAAGAGTAACATGATCTCTGCACAAGGACTTATGGACCAGATTAAAGTCAGCAATGTGCCATGTGGGCATATGGTTGCTAGGGTGACCAGCTGTCCCGTTTTCTACCGGAAAGCATGGTTGAAAAGGGACCCTGCTGACTCTGGTCAGCACCACTGACCAGGCCATTAAAAGTCCAATCAGTGGTGCTGCAGGGCTAAGTCAGGCTAGTTCCCCATGATCCTGTCACTATACTACACTGGAAAACCATCCAGCAGACTCAGTTCCTGGACAGGGGGGTCATAGGGCTCTGTGCACTGCCCTCACGCTAAGCACTGCCTCTGCATTTCCATTGGCCGGGAACAAGGGACTGGCCAGGAGAAGCTGGGGGAGGTATTGCCTGTGGGTGAAAGTAGTGCACAGAGTCCTGTAGCCCTTCCCCCATGCCTAAGCACCAGACCTGCTGGATGCTTCCAGGGCACAGCACAGAGACACAACAAGCAGGGATCCTGCCTTAGCCTTGTTGCACAACTAGCCGGGTAGCTGGGAACCACCCAAGGTTAGCCTGCACCCCAATTCTGAGTCCCAGCTCCCTGCCCCACCCCTTCCCCCCAAACCAAAGCTCCCTCCTGCACGCCAAGCGCCTCATCTCTGGCCCCACCACAGAGCCAGCACCCCAGCCCAGAGCCCTCATCCCTTCCCACACACCAATCTCCTGCTTCAATCCACAGCCCCCTCCCACATTTCAAATCCTGTGGCCCCAACCCGCAGTCTGGATCCCCCTCCTGCACCCTGAACCTTCATTTCTGGCCTAACCCAGAGCCTGGAATCCCAATTAAAGCCCTTACTCCCTTTCATACCCCAACCACCTATCCCAGCCCAGTGAAAGTGAGTGAGGGTGGGAGAGAGGAAGCCACCAAGAGAGGGTGCAGTGAATAGGGGGGGGGGAGGCAGGGTTTCAGGGAAGTGGTGAGGAAGGGGAACTAAGGTGTTTGGTTTTGTGCTATTAGAAATTTGGAAACCCTAAGGATCAGCCAATGCAGAACAGTTTGCAGGTGGTCTAAGTTAGATATGATATGAAACAGGGACAGTAAACTCAGGTGAGCAGGAAGGAGGATCTCACAAATACACACACAAAACTCGAGTAATGAGATATATTGTTTTATTAGTGAAAACAAGCAAAGCAAATAATGTTATGACTGGGCAAAGCAAGAGATCCATTTCTAATTAGGCACCAAAATACGTGGCTTAGATTTTCTTAAAAATTACCATATTTGGTGCTGCGTTCTCTTCAAGATCTGTCCATAAGCATCCCAAAGGGAGTTCAGGGATACATTACAACACTTTTGATAATCTGTCCCTTATTTAGATACCTAAATGGGAGTTCAGCTAGATTTTTCAAAACATCTCAAGATGTGGTAGCTGAACATTTATACAGGCAGTCCCCGACTTACGCGGATCCGACTTATGTCGGATCCGCACTTACGAACGGGGCTCTCTCGCCCCGGAGCTCACAGGCAGCGGTAAGCCACCTCGAGCTCCGGGGCGAGAAAAGCTGCTCCTGGTGCCCCTGGTCTGCTGGGAACCGTCTCCAGCAGACCAGGGGCACCGGGAGCAAAGCGGTCCGGCGCCAGAGCAAAGCCTCAGAGGCGCGGGACCCCCCC